TGCTCTCCTCCCTCCTCGCACCCCTTTTTTTGAAGCTACTAAATAAACTAAAAATAAACCAAATAGAGGAACAAGCCAACTCACAGGGAAAACTTGAAAATGTGCGTGTTTTGGAGAAATTCAGCAGAAAAGCTCTGACGTGACCACGTCACAGCTGGGAGGTAAGCGCCACGGCAGGGAGGGTGGGTACCGAGGAAGAGCAGAGTATTTCTGTCATGTGCCGTGCCTTGCCTCGAAAGTCCTGTTTCACGTCATAAATGAGCCGGCACTGCTGCTCTCTGAAATTCAGGTGCCTGTAGGTCCTCCTGGGGTTTTGGATGTGGCTAAATCAGGATCATCACTTTGAATTTAGGCCAGGTCCTCCGTGGTCAGGAGGTCCCAGCATCTGACATCTTTCCCGCAGCCGCATCCTGGAGTCATGCAGGCTGCTGCCGCTCTTCGTGCCATGTATTTTTCTCTTAGTTATTTCTCTTTTCCTTTTTTATACTGATTTATTTTCCTATACCAAGCATTTTGTTTAGGGCTCCATATTTCTCCTACAGTTTGACAAGAGAAATGTCAGCTCTTGCACAGCGGGTAACGTTTTGTGAGGTCCCGAGCTCGCACAGAATAAAAGGCCAGCGTGCAAATCCAGGCCTTAACACAGAAATAAAGGTTTTATTCTAACATGTATTAGCAGTGCTTTACTGGCCTGCAGCCTTAGCCAGTGTTTCAGTTTGCTTTGTAAATGCGTATTTTCAACGTTGCCCAACAGGTCCACCTTTGCAAAGCAAAACGGGACTCTTCAGGCTGTTGCCAGCTTCATCTGTGTGTCTTTGCCACCACCGTACGAGTGGGTAATATGTCTAGACTTACGTCATCTCCTTGGGTTGATTTCTAATGCGCCTGTAAAAGCGGAGAAACCTCCCCGCACCTGGTGCCCCTGCCTAAGGCAGGAGTCTCCAAACAGGCAGTTGCCTGTGGGAACCGGTTTTGGCTCCGTGCGCTGGCATCAGTCACGGTCTGAGCTATCTGCTGGTGGGACGGTCACTCTGGAGATGTTACCGGGCTTTACACATGCAAAGAAAATTAAAAAAAAAAAATCTGATGTGAACAATGAAATTTTATTTGCAATAGTTTCTTAGGTGGGTCGGGACGTGTGGCGCATCCTGCTCAGCCCCGTGCGTTCACCTGGGACCTGGTCCAGGTGCGTGCATCAGGCTTGACTCTCTGCTGCTCTGATGATGTCAGGTTTGTGCATGTTTCTTGAGGGGGGTCTGTTAGAAAGACCCCTGTAGCGGGGAGGTGCTGGTATCGCTGCTGGCTGCCCAAGGGATGGACCAGGCAAGGCTGGCCATCACCCACCACTCCCAGGGTCTCACCAAGCACTGAGCCACAGAAGTAGTCCATAAAAATCACAAACTTAAAATATAAAGTGCTCATTTAAAAAAGAAAAAATTGAGATATTTTATTAGATTTCTTTTGTTTTGTATCTTTAGTGTTTTGTAAGCTTTCGTGGCATGTAGAAATACCAGACTGTCATAATCTTTTTCATTAAAGTGAATACAAATTCTCATGGCAGAATATAACCCCAAGAGATGGGCCTTGGAGAAAACCTCACATGCCATGAAACCCACCATGGAGCACTGGCAGAGTGGGAGAGCTGCTGGCCTGGCCTCTCGCCTGTGGCTGGCGCCCCGCTGGAGGGGTGCTGCAGTGTGGTACAGCAGAGGAACCTCAGCTCGTGTGGCTGAGCACACCAACCCTGCATCCCAAACCACTTACAATAAAATAAAGCCTGCATTATAGAAAGCTGAGGCTGAAGGCCTTCTTGTTTAGACAGAGATCAAAAGAAAAAGCTCTGCAAGGTAGGTGTAAAGCACTTGGTGTGCTAAAGCTCAGGGAAGTATCATCAGAGGGAGGGCATGGTCCATCTCATCCCTAAATTTGCAGGGACTTGTAAGTGCCTTGTACTGGCTGCTCTGTGCTGGAAGGATGCTGTGCTGTGAAGGGACTCTTCAGAAGACATTTATTCCGACCTTTACAATAAAATAAATGTTTTGTGAAATAGTTCTGGCAACTTGAGATTTCTACGAATCTGGAAGTCACCTCAATACCCTGGCCTGAGCGCCCTGTGGCCGTGAACACCGGTTTGGCAGGGAGGGTGCTCGGAGTGCTTTCATTGAACTTTGCTGGGAATTTAGGGTTTTTACCTACTAACTCGTAACTGGTGGTGTGTGGGAGCTGATCCCCAACAGAAAGGGAGGGTGGTTTCCTCCCGCACTGGAGTATGCCCCAACAGCGTAGAGGGGTTTTTTTATTGACTCAAGCAAGCGTTACGTATGCACAGTAGAGTTAAATTTAGCTCCTTGCTTGTCCATAAGCAATCAGTGTGTGTTTAAAGAACATAAAACTTGATGTGTCCTATTTCCTCACCTTGATTAAGAAGGACTGGAGCACTGCCATTCCTGGCTGGTATGTTCCTCACGGCACTGGGTCCATGGCTGTGTGCTCCTGCCGTAGTGACACCCCAGCTGACCTGCTCCAGATACACCCGTTCTGAGCTTTCCCTTTGTGCTCTAAAAAGCAAATCAGGCTGAGGTGGCTGTGGCTGCTTCTCCCCTGTGCCAGCATTTGCCGTTGGCTGCTGGAGGAGCTGCAGCAGCAGCTGTGGCCATGGAGGCCAGCTTCCTTCTGATGCGATCTGACGTGCGAGGAGTCCTTGACCGGCGATGCCAACGTGGACCATACCTGACAGCATAGCCCCCGTCATTGCTTTTTTGTTTGTTTAAACCCTCTGTGTACAATAGATGATGTGTGTGTGTTTCAAGCGGAGTCCGGTTGCCAGAGGGACAATTGCGGGTGTTTGTCGGGCAGTCTGGTGCAGGCACTGGTGCTGCCCATCTGCCCACGGTGGCCTTTTGCATCAGGTGGGGAAGGGGTTGAGCACCAAAGGGTTTGGTCCCTGTGCTGAGACAACCACACAATTCATTTGTCTTGTGTTTTTGATATCCAGAGTTTAAATTGGCCTTTTCTCTGCTAGTGGGGAAATGCCCCCCCCAGGAGTGCAGGGTTGGGTCCGGTCCTGGCCACCAAGAAGAGCACCCAAATATACCTCCAGCAATGGTTACAGGGGTGCAGGGGCTCCCAGCCGTGCTTCCTAACCAGATTTGTTTTTCTCCTGTCGCCTTGAATGAGGCGGCTGCTGGAAACGGGGTTTTCACTGGAGACTGAGACCAGCTCTGTGGGATCCGCGCAGGGGATGCCCCTCCGTGAGGCTGGTCCTGGAGCATCCTGGCTTGGAGGGCAGGGCAGAGGTGAGCTGCCTGAAACCTGGAATGGGGGATAAAACATTTTAAAAAAATGTGGGTAGAAAGTGCCAAATGTATTTTTGGTAGGCTGTGTCACTTCCTACCCTTAGGGGTGACTTTGACGTCAATTTGCAGAGGGGTGGCTTGCACATAGTGTGCATTTGCGCAGCATCCCCCCTCTGCATGTTGGGTACCATGGGCACAGCGGGACCGGGCTGGGGCTCACCGTCTCAGCCGGCGGGGAGGAGGCATGGGGACATCTCCCTCCGACCATGGAGGGCAGGGTGATGTGGCGACTTGTCCCGAATTGGGGGGGAAGCATGTGGCAAATTGCAGACGCAGCCCCCAGCCCAGTGCTCCTGGCCACCACATCCTTCCTCTTGGGCTGTGGGATTTTTATTTTTTTTCCAGATTTATTGTGTCAGGATCCATCCCCACGGCCAGGAGAGGAAGTTAATTTAGCAACGGCAGGAAAAGACACAATGAGTCAGCGGTGGAGAGGAACTAAAAATAATTAAATATCCAGTGAACGACTTTGTTTCATTTGGGAATTATAGTTACAAAGCAGCATCCTGGGACAAGAATGGAATTAAACAATCCTGTTTATTATTACTGTTTTTTCCTGAAACTTCAGAGTAGAGTAATGCTGTGATGCATAATTTGTATGTTGTTAGAGCTGGTAATCTAACTAGAATATGCATTTTAGCTGAAGTGGTGTCAGCATGACTTGGATATATCATTTAAACATGTAAACTTTGTAGAGCTATTAAAGTTATTCATCTAGCATGCAGCATAATTGTGTTGCACCAGAAATCAGTACTTTTGTTGCTGCTGTACCATGTTTTGACGATCGCTGAGAAATTTTGGCATAAATTCTTTATTTGCAAGGATTCCCTATAGAAATGCCTGCCCCGAGCATGTGATCTTTGCCTCTCGCTGCCTGCCTGCAGCTGATCCGGAGCAAACGTACACCATGATGGGTGTACGCGACAGAGATGAGATCTCAGCAAGGACTGAGCAGGATTTGTGTGGGGCTGGGGGGCAGCGGCTGTGTTGTGAAGCCTGATTCTCCGGGCAGGACTGGAGAGCTGGAGCTGTAAGTGGTGCAGGTTTGGGGACTGCCAAGCCCGCAGAGCCCCCCGGGAGCTGGGACTGGGATGCTCAACCACCCCTGAGCAGGGACCAGGCAGTGTGGTGGTCCCCAGGCTCTGCAAGCCCACAAGATGGGTGGCAGGTTGAGGCTGGACACCTTTTTGAGCTCTGTTGGTTAATTCCTAGAAACTTTTTTTTACACCTGAAAAAGCTGGTTTAGCCAGGAAATAGCTCCCTGGGGTCCGTTCTGGTGTTTTTCGTGTAAAGAGTGAAAATTACATCTTGTGGTTGACATTGCTGTGACTGCCCATCCTCGAGCAGCCATGCAAGGGCTTGAGGATCGCTCCGGCTCTGCCCAGGTTCACTGCCCCAGCCATGGGCAGCTCCTCTGACCGCTGGGATTTCATTAGGATAGCTTCCATGGTGAAAACCCTGGGAGAAAGCCCCTTCCTCCTGCCTCCTCTGGCCGTGACTGCGCCGCCAGGCTTGGGTTTTGACATCAGACACCGGGTTTTTTCCTGCCCTTGTGTAGCCGGTGAGGGCTCAGGGCTATTTTTATCCGGCGCTGGCAGTGGCTGGAGGAGGACGCGGCTTCCCTGGCCCGCACAGACCTCGTCTCCCTCTCATCAGCTGGCCGAGGCTCCGGCGCTGCTGTTGACTTTATTAGGGAAAAGCAAGGTGCTCTGCAGCGGCTGGGAGGCGAGAGGGGCCGGGGAAGCATCCCAGCTGGGGGACGGTGGGCTGCTGCAGGTCTTGGCTCCAGGGGTGAGCACTTGATCCCATGGTGCCAATTGAAGAGTGGAGGAAGGACTGAGATGCCCCGGCGGGAGCGTTTCACCGGCCACGTGAGGACCCGGGAGCGAAGGAGATGAGTCGGGAGGGTAATGGCATGGGTGACGTCATCAGGAAAGCAGCCGCGCCGGCCGGGGAGGGGAGTTATAAAAAGGTAAGGGACAAAAAGGAGCCTTTTGTCTGCCAACAGTCGCTCTCTTCGCAGGAGGGGGACCTGACAAAGTGCTGCCCAACACCCTCCCAGGGTGCTGGGTTTCGGGTGCCAGAGCAGGGAAGCACTTGGGGGTGTTTAACACACCAGCACAGGGCAGCAAACCTTCCTCCCCCTGCGTTTCCATATCACTTTATGATAAAGAAAACATAAAGAGATGTTTCCAAATGCGTTCTCGTATCTTGAGACCCCTGGGTTTTAAGGCAACTTGCCACGTGGCTTGAGATACGCAAGTTTGACTTGGTTTTGCATTTACCAGCAAATCCACCGTGAAGAAAAAGGAGATAAAAACAAATGATCGGTGGTTACAATTTCTGTTTGTAAATCCAATAATAGCCCTTGTACTTTACAGAGATAAAATAAGGCACTGCTTATGGGTCTGGAACTTTAAATATAGTAATTGTCCATGGCTGGTAATGACAGACCCTGGCAAAAATAGCCTTGGTGGCCAGGGCCAGGCACTGGCTGTGCACCCTGTTTGGTGCCGATGGATGGCCCTGGCATCCAGCCTCCGCCGGCCTTGCTGCATTTTAACCCCTCACATCGCAGTGGCACTGCCCAGTGGGACGGGGTCCTGCCAAAGTATTGCTGGCACCCGTTAATCTGTAATTTACTGTGTAATTAGCCTCTTTCCTCTCCAAAAAAGCAGCACCTTAGCAAAGCACATCTGGTATTTGGTCCGGGTTTGGTATCGATCGGTACAACTCCAGAAGTGCCGTCGGCAGCCGTTATTAGGAGCTGCCTGCTCTACGCAAGGTTGAGGGGTCTCAGGGCACGACGAGAAGCCTGGCAAACCGCTGCTACACCTCAGCGCCAAATAAATCTTCTGTGTGCAATTTTATGTGCTGTTTCGGGTGATGTCTGTAATGAGTAAAGGCTGCTAGTACAGGTGCCTGCATGCTAAATAGTGTGGAGTGGTACGTGGTGAAAAGAGCAGTTTGGCTACTACTTCTTAAGGGACAGAAATAACACAGTATGGACTTTGCTTGGTTTCCCAGAAAACTGCAGAACTCTTGTGCCCACTGCTGTACACGTCCACTCTCCATCCTGCATCCAGTCGGTCGGGGATGGCCTCTGGCATCAGTGGTACCTCTGTGTGTGCCCAGGGATGGGGTTGTGTGGGAAGAAGGTGTATATTGGATAAACTCAGGCTCTCAACCAAAAATGTGGCTTTTTTGTTGTCAAGGTGCTGCAGCATGTTGGGGACAGGCTGGGTGCCAGCACGTGTCAGAGGCAGGTGGTGAAGAGCACAAATGATTGTGTATAATCTGCAAACACTGGTGAGGTGATTGCAATAGATTTATAAACAGCAATAATTACAGCAGGCAATGGGGCTGGGAAACAGTGTGCTGAGTCCGCTGTGGGGAAAGGCTGAACCTTTCCTGGCAATTTGCCTTTACTGGAACAGTTGTGTAAAGCGTTTTACATGTAGGCAGTCACAGCCATAATCTGACATTGTGTTTTTATTCATGTACTTAAAAAACCTTCCTTTCCGAATTGGAAGGTCAACAGTAAGAAGGAAAACATCCACCCAAAACTGTTTTGCCTTAAAAATAAAAAGCAGCCTTTTGTTTAAATTAATTGTCTGAACCAGACTTCAGCTCTACACCAGACCCCTCTTTCAAAAATACATACATTTTTTTATTCAGTGTCAGAATACATGTTTAAATAACATGGGTTTATGTTTTTCTTACTAGTACCTTTGCATTTTGAGTATTTGATCCATTATTTTTTATATACCAAGTAAGTGTATTTGATAGTCAAAAAAACATTTGCAATTTTCCTTCTCAATTTATAGTTTTCAATACCCAACTCAGGATGTATACTGCAGATGTTGGGTAATTTATCTAAAGCCTAAAGTCCAGTTCCCTTAGGTATATTATATTTCTTAGTAACTGTTCCCTATTTTATAATAACAACAAATAGGACTCTTGATTTCTCTATGGTCATTAGCCTGTGTCTGGTTTATAAAATGCGATATTCTGAGCTCAGTCCTGGGGGAGCAGTGTTATTTAGTATCCTCAGTAATGACCTGGTGGAGAAAACAAATTGCACATTGATTAAAAGTACAGATGTCAAACTGGGAGCAGTTGCCATCTTGGTGGGAAATGGAGCAAAATTAAAGGATCTGGAGAGGCAGCCCCATCTGAAAGGGGTAAATATGTGAAAGTGTGCCTGTATTTATGTGTATTTTAATGCAAAGAAGACTAGTTTTCAGCACACAGAGTAGGGGGGTATGCTGCTGAGGGAGGGAGTGGTCCCAGCTGGCGTGGAGGGTGGGATGTGCTGTCCTGGCCAGGCAGAAGGAAGCGGAGATGCGCTTTGGGCTCCTGATTTCTGTTGGAACACAAGGGAAATCAGAAGTAGATGGGAAAATGTGGGAGAGGATCATCTGAGTAGGAAAAACGGGGAGGCTGAGTATCCATGACTTCGTGAAATATTGATGCGCTGACGGATGCACCTGGCACTCACAGGGGAGACACCCACATGCATCGTGAGATGGGCAGCACGAGGAACCGGCACGGGCAACCCTGTCTCTGCTTTCAGTCCATTAAAGAAATATTTCTCACTCATTTTTACTTATTTTTTTCTTCACTGTGCTGCCTTCACCAGCAGGGCTGGCTATTTTTTCTTCTAAATCTAACTGCCTCTGTGTGATTGAGGCATCAGTTATTGAAACCTGAAAAAAAAAAAGTAGAAAAACATAGCTGGGCGGTCTGGGTAGAACTTCGGAAACCAGGAGCTGAACCCAAAAACTCGATGCTACTTGATGCCGTGGGGGTTATTTTTAATATTTTAAATAGAAGGAGTTAGGTTACAGATGAAGTATGTATTTTGGTAAGGGATTGACAATATAATGGGCAATGTGATAATGTAACGTATGTAGTCAGTGCTGAAGTTGGAATTCAATTACTAGCTATTTTAAGTCAATAATTTGCATATTGTTATATCTCACTCCCTTGTATCAAAAAAGGTGCTTTATTTTTAGTTAGACAGGTAAAATATGGGAAGCACAGTTATATTAATTAACAGCGTGGAAGCAGTCCATACTTGCCTGCTATGTTTTCTTTTGTTGTGTATTCTTGATGGGGTATTATGCGTTATTTTAAAATGAAATGTTTGAGGGCTTCAAAATGTTCCGTCTATCAATAACTTGCTGCCTTGTATGAATTTGTTGTCAGCGTTGGCACATAATCCATTAGTGACAGACACTGGGATAGTAGTGGTACTAATTTTGAATCTAGATCTGTGATTTTCATTTATTGCACATTGATTACACTCATCTCCATAATCATTGATCGGTGATTAATTTCAAATCACTTTGTAGCTTGCACTTATTCAGAAAAACATGTATATAAAAATACATTTTTAAAACTGTGGATAATTTGATGGCGATGGTTAAAAATACATCTCTAAGTACGCTGGCAGAAGGATTGTGTAGGTTTTGAGGCTGCTCAGGGAAGTGGAAGATGCTAATGGTGCAAGTGTGGTCTTGGTGGCTGTATATGGATATAGGTACAGATATCAATGTGTATATTAGGTATATATCAGATGTATACATCAGGTGTGTGTGTATATAGATATATATCTATCAATATGTGGAGAGAGAGAGATGCAGATGGGCTTTCCTGTTGGGATGGGCTGTGTGGCCCACGCAAGCGTGGGAGACAGCTTGGGGGATGCTGGGCATTATGAGTGTGGCGGTGAGGCTGGTGGGACAACTCTCCTTCCTGCACGCTGGCATGACCGGCAACTTCATCCTTTCTTGTCGCCCTTCCCTTTCAGGCCCAGAAGAATGAGCGTGAGTCCATCAGGCAGAAGCTGGCTCTGGGCAGTTTCTTCGACGATGGCCCAGGACTTTACACCAGCTGCAGCAAGAGTGGCAAGCCGAGCCTCTCCTCCCGGTAAGCCAGGCAGCCTCGCAGCCCAAAACCTCTTTGGAGGTTGAAAAGTGTGAGATGCCTCCAGTGGGACGTCCTGAGACCTTTCCCTTCAGAGAATCCCTCAGTTTTTACTTGCAGCCATATTCTTGAATTTTCCTGCTTTTAGAACATCATCTTATGCTCCAAATGCAATTGGTGTCTGTTATGTAAGCAATTGTAAGCAATATGCTAAAATATTAGGTTAAAACTGTATAGAATAGATACTCGGATGCTCAGAGGATAAAGCAAATGAGCTGAATTTCCCTGAGTTAGGTTTCCTTCAGGTTTTCATTTAGGATCTGTGTCCTGAACTGAGCATTGCCTTTGGACATGAGCAAACCAACAGCGGTGGTGGAAGTATCACGTATGCACAACTGGAGTTATTGTCATGAAAATAGTTGATTAATTTTGTTTTCCAAGGAGTTCTTTACACTGAGTAGCAAAATACTGAGAATTTTGATGTCTGAACACCTGGTTTAATGCCAGACGTGCATGAGCCACTCTTCCCCAAGCCTGTAGCGCTGCATGGGGTTGTTGTGGCCAAAGTGCAGGACCCGGCACTTGGCCTTGTTGAATCTCATACAGTTGGCCTCGGCCCATCGATCCAGCCTGTCCAGGTCCCTCTGCAGAGCCTTCCTACCCTCGAGCAGATCAACACTGCCGCCCAACTTGGTGTCGTCTGCAAACTTGCTGAGGGTGCACTCGATCCCCTCATCCAGATCATTGATAAAGATATTGAACAGAACTGGCCCCAAAACTGAGCCCTGGGGAACACCGCTCGTGACCGGCCGCCAGCTGGATTGAAAAAAAGCAGGGCAGGGCTCAAGGATGGTCCCACCAGTCCTGGGTCAGGCAGTGTGGTGATGGTTGTTGAAAAACCACCAGTTTGTGAAAGTGTATCTTCCTTTAGTGGCTCGGGAGGTGGCAGCCCATTGGAAGCAGATCTGATGCTGATAGCTAGCCCTGGTGGCAGTGCAGAGCAGTCAGGGCTGCAATTAATCTCGCACACAGAAAGCACCAGAGAATGGAAAAAATGAGCTTTAATGTGGGTCCCTGCCTCCCCCACACGTCCACGTGCTCCGCACAGGCTCTGCTCACTGGACATGGCTCCATCCCTGGGGCTGGGACATTGCATAGCATGGATACCGCACTTATTCTGATTTTTAAAACTTCTACATCAAATATACTCCAGAAAGGCTTGTTTATATATGCAGCTGCTGGGAGTAACCCGTAGCACTTGGAAAGCATCAAACGCCTCCCACATTGGGAGTGAAGATCTACCTGTTGCCATGGTGTGAGAGAAGAAAAAAGTCTTAGAGAGGCACAAAACCAGGAGGAATACTGTTATTACACCAGAGAGGTACAATTGTGAAATTAAATTGAACTGCAAGTCATTTGAAAGGGAAAACAGTTTTGCTCTGTGTAGTTACAGCTAAACCAGGAGCTGCTATCTTGTAATTGTAGCGCGGGTCTAATTAGTGCTGCACGGCAGGGCTTGGCAGCTGTGCCACGATAAATTACCAGCTGTACCTGAATTCTTTGGCGTTTCGTTAATATTTGTAGTCCAGGCAAAGCATTAGTATTGCACAGTGCCTGTTACAGGACCTACAGGAACCTTTGCGGGACCATTGCTCTCATTTTTATGCTTACAGATGAAATAAAACTCTGCTTGCCTATGAAATGAAAGAGCATAAATTGCTGGGTTTCAGGAGTTGGGGTCATGCTCTCGAAAGGCACGTGAGTCGCAGACCCACATTTTGCACTTGCTCTGCCCTTTCTGCACAATGCAATTTGCAGCTGAGCCGAGGGTGCATCCTGCTTCCCAGCCTGGATACTTGTGTCTGTCCACCATGGCTCCAAAGCTTGTGCAGAATTATAGAATAGAAACATAGAACAGTTTGGATTGGAAGGGACCTTTAAAGGTCATCTAGTCCAACCCCCCTGCAATAAGCAGGGACGTCTTCAACTAGATCAGGTTGCTCAGAGCCCCGTCCAGCCTGACCTTGAATGTTTCCAGGGATGGGGCATGCACCACCTCTCTGGGCAACCTGTGCCAGTGTTTCACCACCCTCAGCGTAAAAAATTTCAATTATTAATGCTGTCTATTTTATGGTAATAGTGAATAAGAAATTCCACTAAAATAAATGGAAAATAAGAGTTTGCTGTCTGTAAGTACTGATATAAGCCCCCCCAGTTGGGAATGAGGAATAACAGGCAGCAGAACATGTGGGGGGGCTTGCCCCATCTTCAGCAAGTAGTGATGGAGTATGATGCACCGAGAAGGCTGGTAGAGGTGACCCCAGAAATTTCTAGTTTCTGGGGTTAATTTTTCATAAATTTGGAAGATGACCAAAGCCTGAGCAGATTTTGTAGGAGGCAAACGGGCCTGTCCCTGGTGTCAGGTGGGCAAATTGTCCTGGAGAGCCTGGGGCGTGTGAGCTCGGCTGGTGGCTGCAGAGCTGCTCCGCAATGTGAGCATCAGCGGGGGCTTTCACAGATACCCTCTTGTCCAAAAAATGCATTCCTGTGTTTGCTTTCAGAGGCTGGTCTGAGCAGAGGGAGCCGTGGGGTCCACCTGGAGCTTGGGGTGCCATGCTTTTCCGTGGGCATCAGCCAGCGCCAGTAAAACGTGTGTTACCTGGCTAACCTGCTCTGCAGTGGCTTTGGGGGATAACTGTTGTGTGAGCAAAAGCCAGGATGCTCTCAGCTGTAGAAGTGCTTTTCCCTCTCTCAACCTGCACTGGGATGCCCCTACCCTGAGCCACTGCGTCCGGAGAAAATCATTCCCGGGGAGTGAGTTTGGGTGGTCTTAACCTGTCCAAATCAGGCAATGGAGCAGAGGGTCCAGAAAACACAGCAATAATCTCTTGCGGTACAGTAGTGCCTCTTGGCCACAAACAGGCTTATTACCCTTCTGAATAAATAGTTTCAATCATTAACACATTATTTTATATACTATAATAATGTTTTATATGTATTATCTATTTGTATGTAAAATGTATTTAGTATATTTTATATATACTTTATATATAATATTTTATTTAATGTAATAATATAGCTACCCGTGATGACAAAAGCCTTGCAGTATCTCAGCAATTCTGAAGTTCATCAGTAGGTGGTGGTAGAAGCATTATCATTATCGTGCCGCTGAGTTTCCAGTCCCACATTGAATTGCTGCTCAGAAATGGCAGCGCTGGGCAGCAGCAGGAGCTTGCCCGTGCCCTGCCGCCACAGGCTGGTGATCCTGGCTCAGCTTTTGGGTGAGGGATGACCACCTTCTTGGAAAAAAGTGAAAATGGTTATATTTTCCTGAGGCCAATACAACATCAGGACAACAGCATCCTTTCAAAAGGTGAACGACTCGCTGCTGACGGCGCTCCAGCATCTTGCCCGCGCAACCCATCGGCGCGGCAGGGAGAGCCGACGCAAGGGGGCTGCGGTGTCACCTCTCCCTTTCCCCCTGCAGATTACAAAGTGGGATGAACCTGCAGATCTGCTTCGTGAACGACAGTGGCAGTGACAAGGACAGCGACGCCGATGACAGCAAGACAGAAACCAGCCTGGACACGCCATTGTCACCCATGGTAGGTCCAAGAACCCATCCCACAGAGGCTCCAGAGCATGGAAACTATGAGGCCATCCATAATGGAAGCTGGTGAAGAGCTGATCCTATTAAAACAGCAATGCTAAACCCCAGAGCAGTGTCTTCAGCCATCAATAAAAGAAAAGCGAGATGCTGAGGGGCAGATAGCAAACTGCCCCTGGCTTGCGCAGGGCTGCTGTAGAGCAGATGCCTCTGTGTGAAGGTGTTCCTTCTTTCTTCCTTCCTCCCTTTCTTTTTGACTCTGATAATTATCCAGGCAGTAAAGGATATGACATGGTATCAGCTCCCACCAGCTTTCCTCTCCTCTCTTTTCCTTTGTGAATATAACACTGTGGCCCCAAATGTTTTCCTCCAGCTTAACCAGTCTGTCCCTTCAACACCTATTGATCTGGTTGGCTCCTCTTTCCATTTAAAGTGCTTGAGTTGCTATTAATAGTCAAGGAGGCCTATCTGGAAATTACTCTGATTTTTAAAGATAATCTTGTGGATTAAAATTTTTTTAAAAATCTGTGCTCTTCACCTTTTCTATAGAAATGATACCACTTGTAAGTGTACAAAAATATGTTAACAGCAAACTTCTTTGCTGTGGCACGGTTGGGGCAACAGTGCTGTAAAGGCTGCATGTCTGCTTCCCTAGAGCAAGCAGAGCTCATCCTACTCCGACAGAGACACAACAGAGGAAGAGTCGGAGTCCCTCGATGACATGGACTTCCTCACCCGGCAAAAGAAACTCCAAGCTGAAGCCAAAATGGCCTTGGCTATGGCAAAGCCCATGGCCAAAATGCAGGTCGAGGTGGAAAAGCAGAACAGGAAGAAATCGCCGGTAGCAGATCTTGTAAGTGGGGGCCATGGGACGGCATGGGGGGGTAACACCAGCCCTTTTGCTGTTTGTTTTTGCTTGTTGAGACGTGTACAGCGGCCAGCAGTGCTTGTGCATGGTGCTTGTAGACATGCAGAGGAGCAGTGGAGATAGGGACCATCAGTCAGGAGTTGAAAGGTCGACATGGGTTGTCTTATCGGGGCGTTATGGGAGTGGGATGGAGGCAGGGAATGAGATGACGAAGAGTGAAGGTTGTTACTGCCTTGAGGCTGGCAACGACAGTGTAGTCTGCTCAGCCCATCTCATCCCAAGCTGGGGCATGCCTGCCTTCG